GTAATTAGGACCGATTGTACCTGTCTCTCTTTGCCTGAAATGACTTGTTGCAGAAAATAAATAAATCAGTTGTCGCATTGAACAGCTTGAAATGTTGCTTGCTTGTTAGAACTTACAAGTGATGTTTGCTTTCGGGGGGGCTTGGGTATTGCCTCTCTCTTTTTCTTTTCCAATGATAAGTGGACATTCTCTCAATAGAAGAAAGGTTACACGCAATGTGTTACTTCAGTAAATGATCAGGCTTAGCACATACTGTAAGCTTGTTCTTTATTTCTACTACTTGATAAAATATGAACAATTGGTTGGGTTGGTGTGATTGAAGTAGACTGTTGTTTCTACATTTGTTGCAAATTGTGATGAATCATGTTGTGTAACTCAGAGTTAAAATAGGTACCATGAACAGTCATGCACTTGAATGTTGCTGATCCTTAGAAGGATGTATGATCCCATCTATTTCTTGGCAGCATGGTTGGCGGTAAAATTGCTCTGCTTGTTGGATTAGTAGCTAGTTAGGTGTGATAGAAAATCAGGAGGTATATCTACTGCAGTTATTTTCCTTTCTGTTCATACTTTGCAGAGCTTATACATGCATTGATTTGTTTCATGTCAACTAGCCTATCAATTATTCAACACAAACCTTCTACACATGCACTATCACTACCAAGACACCATTAACTCTGAACAATAGTCTCTTCTTCTTAATCTGTACTTCATTGTGCAGTTAGTTTGGTATTATGCCATATTGAGGAAAGGAAGGCAAAGGAGTGAGTGCGTCTCAGGACACGAGGGTAGAGGGTAAAAGACTAAAAGGATATAGTGAAATCATCGACTTGCATGTGGCTGGGCTCATTCGCAGCTAGCCACGTCTCTGGTATATGGATTAGGGCAAAACTGGTTTATCCATTCTTGCTGAGATGGCGAAATAACATAAGACGCGTGTTCTTTGTAGGATACACTAGCAAATAACTATCCTGACACAAATAACAGGCCAACTCCAACTCCCAAACCAACCAAAGAGTATATGATATTAAGGATATCCTAGTAGCTTCCCTACATAGTTTGTACAATGTCAAGGAGACCTTGCCTCATTTGTTGCTTTCTTCTCCAGCTGCCGCACGTGTTGGCTTACATGAGCTCTGGTACGTTGTACCCCGGAAGGAGTCCATATTATTAGAAGCCCTAAGTTTAGGTGACTTGTTTATCTAAATATTTGTGCCATGCCCAAGATGGTTTACCATCTCGTTTATCTTTGTCCACAAGATCATGAGCAATTCTAAACATGAAAACATTGAGATAATGCTTAAACAATGTTGTAGGTAGTGGTTAGTGGCATAGGACACTGGGAATGGCTGTTTCTTTTTTCCTTATGATCAATGAAGGAGTGTAAACTGTTAACCAGTACGGTAGTTTGTTCTGTTGGAGAAGTGGTTGGGGAACGATTGTGTGACTGCAAGAGAGGTCTCGAACTGAATAGACCGTTTCAGGGTTTCTGTGTTGTATCAGATGGAATCCTGCTGTAATAACTAGCTGGTATTTTGTGGAATGTCTTCTTACTGGTAGATCAGAGGGGTCAAGTTGAGTATCTGGTATATAGCACTTGCCCCAAACCTGTTGTGTGATACCCAGAGCCCCTGCATAAAATTGAAAGAAACCAAGGTAGCATGTGGGACATAGATTAAAGATGTTATGGGTTTCTCAAAAGATTGTGGGTGGAATAATTCATGAACTGGGTCGCCTTTGTTGGAAAGACAAACTCCGAGGACAGAAATCTATCACTGCAGATGAACATTCTTGGTCATGCCTCATTGCCCCACTAGTCTACTGTCAGTCTGTTCTGTTTCCTGTGACACTTAGTGTAAATGTCAATTATGAATACTTAAATTCATCAGGTTTATTAGTTTCACAAATAATTTCCTTGAAGTGTGTGTACTATGTGCATCAATACTGCCGTTGCAACTTTGTTTACAGAAAATGCTTGCTTTCTTGAGAAAATATTACTTACATTTTCACGAAATCAATGCTTTCTGTGACGGATGATATATCAGCAAGATTTTTGACTATTTGAGTATTCCGATTTTAGCAAGCATGGTGCCATACTGCTTTTTATGAGCAAAAGGCGTGAGTTGAACCTAACTAAGCAGAAAAGAATGAGGTGAATACTATGGCATATTGGCATTGAAATGTAAAGCCACGCTGATTCTCCTCATTTGTCGACTTGTTCTCGTCCTATAGTAGCAAACTGATACTTCCTCCGTTCACAAATACAAGATGTGCTAAATTTTTTTCTGAATCGGACGTATATAGACATGTTTTAGTGTGTTTGTTTACTCATTTCAGTCTGCATGTAGTTCACATTGAAATATCCAAAACATCTTATATTTGTGAATGTAGTCTACATTGAAATATCCAAAATATCCAAAACCCCTTGCACAATGGCATTGACGAGCTCTAGTAGCCACCGGCTCAGCAGGATCTGATCTCAAATGGCCTCTCGGCCGGAGGCATGACCATCTTGGCCGCGCTCTCTGAGCTCCTTCGATCTCGGGCATGGGGACAACGTCCATCCGCCTCGCAGAAGGCGGCCAAACCCTTCCTCCTCGACCTTGAACCGATGCCAGCCAACGACTTCATCCAACCTGAGCAGGACGCCATTAGTGCCGCATCCAGCTGCGCTTTCAGACAAAATCCGCTCCAAAAGCCACCCGCCCCTGCATACTCCTCGACATCGCCCGAAAGAACGAGGCCGAAGCAAGACAAGAGTAGGAGGAACTGAACACCCACAAGCTCACCGTCAAAGATTTGGCCTCAGATGAGACGCGGCCGGAGCCGGAGCGACTTATTGCCGACGCGACGTTGTCGCCGTCATCTTAAGGCGTCTCTTGGAACTTATCTACATGCCTGCAGAACCCCAGAGATCCTCCCCACCTCCTGAGACGTAATAACTGGCCATCGGAGGCGTGGAGGAGCGGCGAGATCGCCGGCGGAAGAACCAAGTACCGGATGCGCCTCCTTGTCGCCTCTCTCGCATTGTAGCAGAGGGTTTGAGAGGAAACTGGCAACGCAGCGACACTACATTCTTTTAAATTATGGGACGGAGGGATTATGTTTCTAGTACATCAGAAATTTGGTTCTTCCATCTCTCATGAGGAATACTTCATTTTTTATAACAAAACCAATTTATTAGATCAAAATAACACTTACATCATGTATTAAGATTGATGCAATTTTGGTCATGGCCTCCTCAAACAAATCATAGGTTGCAGAAAATCTAGCTAATCTAGCAAACTCATGAGGAACCTTATTAGCTTCTCTATTACCATATTCAAAAGTAGTGATGGAAAAATCACAAGAGCTATGATAACAATCGTCAAAAACTGATCAATTTTCCAGTTAATAAGACTATGATAACAATCAATTACAATCCTCCCTTTGCGCAAGAGGAGGGCCAAATCGAAATCGTAGCGCTAGAGCCTCGGCAGTCAGGGCATCATTGCACCGATCAATTTTCAAGTTAATCAAGCAATGAATTGCACTCTAGCATCTCTTAGAACTGCACCAGCTGAACCCCTAAGCAAATATTGATCAAAATAGCATCAACATTAAGTTTAATAAAACCCAGGTGGCCGGGTCCAACCACCTTTCGTCATGGTAGCATTAGGGAAAGTGAAATATATAGTTTATCGCCCGGCGTGAATTCTCATAGTAATTTGATTGAAATCTTGGATTTCCTTCTCGTGGACCAACTTACATCTTCCCCACAATAAGTACCAAGTAGTAATAACGATCAATTCGTTGACATTAAGAAGGTTAAAAATAGACGGATCTTAAGTAAGAACTCAAGGAAAGCCTCGTCGACACGATCAATTTCACAAGCTTTTTTAATCACTACGTCCAGCCCAAACATTTCCAAAGCACCTTAGCTTTTTGGCATGGGAACAAAGATGTTTAGTGTCTTACGTGTCCTTTAGAAGAGAAGGGGCACAAATGCGAAACTTTTAAAGGCCTATTGGCAAGAGTAACACGACAAGGAAGAGTGCCATGAAGGTGCACCAATAAAAATTCCTTCATCGAATAAGATAATTTCCAAATTTTACACCAAAAAGAATTGAAAATGGTTTGACCAGTCCCATTAGTTCATCTAAGTTTTCTCCCATGTTGGTGAATATCACATTCCACACACTAAGTCGAACAAACAATGAACCATTCTTCGTGAAACTCCCTGCAATAAAAACCGACATGCCATGAAACAGAAGAGGAATACATGAACTCGTTGAGCATCAATTGGCAGTGGTATTTGTCTGGCGAAGGAAAAAAAAACTATTTGTAATATGATCAATAAGATCAAAAACCTTAGACAAGAGATTGTACTCATTTAGGAGTGACAACTCTTCTATCAACAAAATTTGGGATCCACGCATCTTTTCAAATATCATTGTTCTGTCCATTGCCAACTCTCCGTATATAAGTATATAACCACGCTTCAGATAACTGACTTCTGCCTTAATACTATGCCAAGTAAAAGAGGACCCTTCAGGATAACATTTTTTGGAAAAACTTTGTTTTTGCCACTCTAGCTTTTGACCGGTTTGCTTATGCCACTCTAAAATTTGACATTTTGATTTTGCCACTCTTAGTTTTTGACAATACATCACAATTGTCATTCGGTGGCAAATACAATAAGATATCAAAAGCACTTGGTCTTGTCGAAAAAGAATGCTTCCATTGCACAAAAACATGATTCCATCATGGAAAAACAGATCTGACTAAATAAACCATAATTAAATTTATTGATTATTCATTAGGAAAAAACATAATTTACCAAATTATTTTCAAAACAGCCCACCTTGTTCTTGAAAAGGAGACCGTGCATGATTCTAAGATGCAAATACCAGGAAACAAACCAAAATTAACTAGCCTAACATCCACGAGCAGGGTAAGACGCACATTTTCAATGGGAAGCTCCCATTCATCGTACCGTACAACAGACGTTCGATAGGATGCTAGGGAGTGGTAGTCCGATACTCATACCTAAACCCCTTGGACTTAATTTTATGGCAACGGCTGCAGAGCTTCTTCACACTCAACTGAACCGTGGAGGGAACTTTGTCCACGATATATTTATCAATAACCCCCAGCCCTTTGTGGGCGTGCATGATCATACTCCTGCTTTTCGGGTTGCATTCACCTATTTTCCCGACACAAGACCTTTCAGCATCTCCATAACTACTATTGTCGTATATGGTGTCCAGCGTAAGGCGCTCGAGCGAGGTTGCATTCTCAAGAATATGGTAGGTTAGTTCGACCATGCTCTTTGCAGAGCAGAAGCCCATTATCCTGACATTCTTGACGCTGCAATGGAGATGTCCTGGCATCTGTCTCATGTTCAAGTCTCCATCAGAAATCAATTCATGCTTTACTCGAGTCTGTGATACCTACATTCATAGGAGCAACACACGAGTTAAATGGTTCCACAGCATATGCAGATACTTGATACCATGGTTGCAAGCTAGAGGAGAAGTGACTTACACCCAAGACAAACTTCTCCAGGACAGGACAAGCATCCAGGAAATAAGCTAGGGAAAAATAATCATAGGATGGGGAAAAGCCCCCCATCTGTCCATCATTAAGATCAATCTTCAGGTTCTTCAGGAAGAGGAATTTGACAGCTAAAATTGGCGTATTGAACATCTGCATATAGATATTGGTTACGTACTTTCTTCCCTTAAAAAGGTTAAACATATTCAATGGCACGACTGCTGTTATATATATGAAACAACACCTGTCTCTGACAATCAAATCTACTGCTAGCCATCCTTGCAAAAACAATAATGGGAAAACTAAAGTTTGAGAATATACCTCTCCAGCCGAAGATAGGTTGAGGGTTTCAAGATTTGGCATAATGAATGGAAGCTTGGAACGAGCATCATGAACAATGTCATATTCGTAGTAATCCAACATGTGTAGTCTCTTCATTTGCAATAAATCTCCAATCGGAAGTTTCTCTACGGCGCCATCAATGCGAACAAAGCAAAGATTTGGAGCTCTATTCTCTATCACTTCCAGAGACTTGCAATGAAACACTGACAGGCAGCTGAACCGATTTAGCAGGCAAGATATCTTGAGGCGAATTATCGTATCACAACTATTGAGACACAACTCTTCCATAGCAAGAGAATTGGACAGAAGGTGCCCTAACTCATCTCCCGTGATGCGCACCTCCAACAGAAACAGCCTTGTCAAGCAACCAAGCCCGGCCGTGGGATGGAAGGCGCACCGGCTGAGGTGAAGATGTCGAATCGAGTTTCCACGCCCGTTGGATAAAACCGGGCATGGGAACTTGTAATGAACCATGGTGCATCCTAGAGGCATTCAAAGTTTGACCTCTTCAATCCCTGGGGTAACAGCAATCTCAAACCACCTGTTGAGATAATTGGTGTCCAGAAAAGAACGAAGGTAATTATAACTAAGGTTGAATGTCTTCACGCCGCCTGAGTGTTTTCTCATAATGCGGTTGACTCTCTTGGTGAAAACCCGTGCCAGTTTATCTTCTCTGCATGTATGCCCATCCAGGCCCAGCGTTTCCATACTTAAGGTGAGGTTAGGATGGGATCTCCAGGAGCTTAGAAATGTTCGACACACACAGCCAGCTCGCGCAGCATCTGGCAGTGGCAGAAGGGACAGTATATGATGCCAGATGTCCTGCAAACACAAGAACAGGAGAAAAGTTAAGCAAGTGGATCCTTTAACCAGGGGGGTAGGATCATATGCAATAGAACTGTGCTATTAGTGTCTTTCCTAAAAAAATGTGACCTAATGTTGAATAATAAACAAGTAAACATCGGTATTACTTGTTCCTAAAAGGCGTAACACTGAAACCAATGGTTGCAGTAACAACTTCATCAGTGTAGTGAAATATCACACTTGCGCTTCTGCAGCTCTCAAAGTGCGTACTTGTATGCTTCTGGCTTCTATCATATCTTGTTTTTTTTTTAATTCAGCGAACTAGATTCAATTGAAATTGCTCGACCTGTTGGCTTTGATTTTGTGACCAGGAAAGGACAAACCATCTCATCAGTTAAGCAGAGGCCGTCAGTTAAGCAGCAAGAATGACAGTGAAGTGAGACTAACAGTAAGTGGAGTCCTAAAATAATGTTGTCACAACTTACAATTAGCCTAGCTCACGGTTTCAACAAATTTGTGAAATAGAGTGGCTGGCAATGAATATCCGTATCGGGGAATCCTCCTCGGCGTTCTGCTGGCTTGGCGTTGCGTACCTTTGGAAGATCCGGGACTGAATATCTCGATCGTTTGCGACCTTGGGCCTGGGGATCATCGTCATGTTCACCGGGCGAGCCCTTCCGTTTAGCCGCTGAAGCAGTCGACATAGTACCTAGGATAGGATAGGGCACATCATCCATGGTCATGAATAGCGCAGACATTAACGCAAGGAAACAGCAGCAAAGGCGACAGCCTGCGCGCCGGGAGGGAGGGGCGAGATCCGACTTGCTACTACCACGGGGTTGGAATTTCACCTCCTCCTGGAGCCGCCGAGCCGACACGAGAGATCGGGCCCAGCAATGGCAGCTTCGATTTGAATCGGACGGACGAAGGCGATTCGCGGGAGAGGAGATCGGTGCGGTGCCGCCGCGCGCCACGGCAGGCAGCGTGAACCAAACCCTAAGCTGCTGACTTCGCGGGTAGGCCTTGCTGGGCCTCGACCTCGCCCTGGGGGGCAGCCTTTGCCAGCCCAATGGGAGCCATCCTAGCCTTGAATGGAATGGCTAGGGAGCACCCGTTGGCTCGTTGGATGTCTGGGGCACACACCCAAAAAAAGGAAAGTGGGGAAACCCCTGAATAGCTGGCGGAATAGAAAAGGAAAGTCCAATCCTACCCTTCCGTATCTCCTATGTTCGTAACCGCTCCTCCACACCCGCCCATCTCCCCGACTACAGCGTGCTTATCACACAAGAATGTCTAGCCTGCCTTTCCCCTCTTTCCTGCACTTCCCTTTTTTCCAACTGGTAATCTGCTGCAAAAAACCTCCATGGATCTGCATCTTGAAGGTTCCTGAAAACCTAAACTAGCGGCAGCAGCATCGTCACGCTCCGCCCCCACACCAAAGTTCCGTGCACCTCCTCTACAGCGAAAGCACTGGGCCCTGAAGAGGTGAGTTCTTCCTTCCTCTGCCCTGCAAAACATGAATATGTTTTTAGGCAACTTAGTGGCTATTTCTAGGCAAAAGTAAAGGCGCACAGGGGCAATTTGTGTCTCTGCTAGGCACAAAGCGCAAAACAAAATTGTAGGCAACTATTTTCAACATGTCTAGGCAAACTCGTGGTTTTTCTCCGTTACTTCCGCCTGTAGATGCAACACGAGTGTGGGGACTTATGTACACAAAAGTCCCCTTGTTGTGATTCTTAGGCAACTTAGAGGCAAAAGTAAATGCGCGTGGGGGACAACTATTTCGACATGTCCAGGCAACTCGTGGTTTTCTTCCTGTTACTGTCCGCCTATGTATGCAACATGGTGTGGGGACTTATGCTCGAAAAAAGTGCCTTGGCGTGATTCTTAGGCAACCCAGCGACAAATTTTTGGAGAAGTAACTACGTATGGCGGCGATTTTGTGTCCCTTACTAGACATAAGTCAGGGGGAAACCCCTCTGTAGGCAACCATGTTGATATATTCAGGCAACTCATGGTCTGCTCCCCCCTACAGCATCATATTGACTTCTTGGGGGTTAAAAGGGAAAAGCAACTTGTTGCATGTGTCCTGGGCAAATCATATGGACATCAGAAGCAAATTATGTGTTTCTTTTAAAAATCAACTTCAATGGATTAGTCCCATCAAACTAACAGAGCATTGAAAAAAAGCGACTTTTATGGCTTATTTTAAAAACAAAGTTCAATGGCTTATTTTCAGCAGCTAGGAGAGATTTTGTCAAGCAAAACATGTGGTTTATTTAAAAGTTGAGTTCAAATGGATTAGTTGTAACGCCCTCGATGCGGCTATATCTCCCACGTGTCGAAGCACGACTTAGAGGCATAACCGCATTGAAAGCAATGTCGCAAGTGAGGTAATCTTCACACAACCCATGTAATACATAAGGGAAAGAGATACATAGTTGGCTTACAATCGCCACTTCACACAATTACATGAATAAAGCATTACATCATCCAGATACAATCAAGGTCCGACTACGGAACCAAAATAAAAGAAGAACCCCAAATGCGACAAAGGTTCCCGATCGATCCCAACTGGGCTCCACTACTGATCAACTAGAACGAAACAACACAAAGGGCAAGATCTTCATCGAGCTCCTCCTTGAGCTTGGCTGCGTCACCTATTCGGTAACATAGGCACCTGCAAACTGGTTTTGGAAGTATCTGTGAGCCACGGGGACTCAGCAATCTCGCACCCGCGAGATCAAGACTATTTAAGCTTATAGGAAGGATGGAGTAATGAGGTGGAGCTGCAGCAAGCGACTAGCATATATGGTGGCTACAATCGCAAAAGAGAGCGAGAAGAGAGGGCAAAGCACGGTCGATAAAAGTATGATCAAGAAGTGATCCTATAGCAACCTACGTCAAGCATAACTCCAACACCGTGTTCACTTCCCGGACTCCGCCGAGAAGAGACCATCACGGTTACACACGCGGTTGATGTATTTTAATTAAGGTCAACTTTGGGTTTTCTACAACCGGACGTTAACAAATTCCCATCTGCCCATAACCGCGGGCACGGCTTTCGAAAGTTCAAATCCCTGCAGGGGTGTCCCAACTTAGCCCATCACAAGCTCTCACGGTCAACGAAGGAATAGACCTCCTCCCGAGACATTCCGATCAGACTCGGTATCCCGGTACAACAAGACATTTCGACAGGGTAAAACTAAACCAGCAACACCGCCCGAATGTGCCGACAAATCCCGATAGGAGCTGCACATATCTCTTTCTCAGGGCACACTCAGATTGTCCAAGGTACGGGTAGGCCAACCCAGAGTTGCCCCTGGTGGCCACCGGCAGCTGACGGGTTGGACCAACACTCAGAGGAGCACTGGCCCGGGGGGGTAAAATAATGATGACCCTTGAGTCCGTGAAACCCAAGGGAAAAAAGAGGCTAGGTGGCGAATGGTAAAACCAATGTTGGGCATTGCTGGAGAAGCTTTACTTAAGGCGAACTGTCAAGGGGTTCCCATTATAGCCCAACCGCGTAAGGGACGCAAAATCCGGGAACATAACACCGATATGACGGAAACTAGGGCGGCAAGAGTGGAACAAAACACCAGGCATAAGGCCAAGCCTTCCACCCTTTACCAGTATATAAATGCATTAATTAAATAAGATATATTGTGATATCCCAACAAGTAAATAAATGTCCCAACAAGGAACGGCATCTCCATGTTCCAACAAGGAACAAACTTCAATCTTCACCTGCAACTAACAACGCTATAAGAGGGGCTGAGCAAAGCGGTAACATAGCCAATCAACGGTTTGCTAGGACATGGTGGGTTAGAGGTTTGACATGGCAATTTGGAAGGCTGACAAGCAAATGGTAGGCATCGTAGCATTGGCATGGCAAAAGAGCGAGCAAACTAGCATAGCAAAGATAGTAGTGATTTCGAGGGTATGATCATCTTGCCTGAAATCCCGCAAGGAAAAAGAACGAGTCCATGAAGAAGACAAACGGACGTAGTCGAACGGATCCTCACAACTCCGGAACGAAACCGAAGCTAACAAGAGAAGCAAACCGGAAAGAAGCAAACAACCATGGTAAACACACAAGCATAGTCAAGGCATGATGCACAATCAAGTATGATGCATGTCCGGTTTAATGAGGCATGGCATGGAAAAATGAAGCAAACAACACTACAATTTAAGTGGAGCTCAATATGCACGAGGTGCATGTTGACGAAACACCACATCAAGTTATTTAGTTTGATCCCGTTTATGTACCCAACAATATTAAATGTTGTTAAACATGGCAAGAGGGTGAAGCAAATGAAAACTACCTATCTAGGCAAGTTTAAATGAGGCCGGAAACAACAAACAACAATTCCGGAAAATCCCCATATCATATTTATGGATTAGGTACTGTTCTGCCATAAACACAATTTTAGAGTTGTTAAACATGCAAAGTAAGTACACCATGTTAAACTAGGCAAAATTCTACCCCATTTACATATAAAGTTTATTCAATTCGGAGCTACGGTTATTTAGTTATGAATTAAATCATTTTAACATGGCATAGGAGCAAATTAATGCAAACAGCATTTTTAACATTTTAGATATGGATGAAAGTTGGATATTATTAATCTACACAAAATTTTGAGCAAGTTTCATATATAAAACATTTTAATCCGATGCACGCTTTG